GGAGTTTGAGGTTGCTGTGAGCTAGGCTGACGCCACGGCACTCACTCTAGCCCCGGCAAAAGAGTGAGACTCTGTCTCAAAAAAAAAAAAAAACTTTATGTACAAACACAGGCAGTGGGCTGGATTTGGCCCTTGGGCTGTAGTTTGCTGGCCCCAGGACTAGAATGGAAGACCCAGAAAGTCTTAGTTCACTGCTGCACCCTGGTGCCAGCACAGAGCCTGGCTCATGGCATGTGCCCAGTACATACTGGCTGGATGAATGAGTGAGCACAGGAGGAGAAGCATGGGGCTGGGGGTGTCTGGAGCAGCACCCCCAGGCAGGCAGCCCTTACCCAGGCGCACGTAGAGCACGTACTGCATGGAGTCGCGGGGCTCCGTGTAGAGGATGCCCCCGCGCATGCTCAGCCAGATGATGGCCATCTCGGCGATCATGCAGCTCAGGAGGATGCCCAGGTAGCCGCGGCCGTGGTCCACCAGGTTCAGGGAGCAGGCCTCGTGCGGGTTGTAGACCAGGCCGAAGAGCACCACGGACAGGATCACAAACCTGTCACAGGAACACCTGTGTGAGCGAGGCTGGGCAGCCCCTGCACCTCGAACGGCCCCTAGCAGGCAGGTCCCTTCCCAGCATGGACTTGGTGGAAGGAGGGGTGACAGCAGATGCCTCCCCCACGAGGCCACTGTCCACCTGGCATTAAATGCCTCCGAGGGCATGGGCGGCCAGTGAAAGACCTGGGGACGGGGAGTAAGAACAGTGGGTCCAGCGGACAGCCACTGGGAAACAGCAGCAGCAACTCCCCCCAGAGCTGGGGTTGGGACCACCGGTGGCCAGGAGGGGTCTCTGGCTCCGTGTGGACATTGCCTTAAGGCACCTCCTCCCAGAAGCTGGGGGCACGACAGGGATAGGACTCGGGTCCAGGCAGGGAAGAACAGATGGCCCAAAAGCTTCCTTCTAGGCCTTTCTCTCCGCACTCAGGCCTGTGGCCTCCGCCCTGGAGACTCACCAGGTGGTGTGCAGGAGGAAGAGGAAGATGGCTGGCAGGACGAGGTCATCACTGCCCACAGACCAGCGCCGCCGGAACACCACGATCCCGGGCATGGCTGGCGGCTCTGCAGAGGCTCAGCGGGCCTGGCGCTCACCTCCTGAAAGAAAGCAGAGGACCCTGTAGCTGCCTGGGTGGGCAGCGGCACCCAGGGCCAGCACCTTCCTGGGCCACTGGGCCAGTCCCTGGTGTGGCCAGCAGCACAGGCATCTTCAGAGCTGGCCACAAGTCCCAAGTCCAACGTGATGGCCTCCAGGCCCCTGGAAATGCTGACCATCCCTGGGTAGGAGCCAACCCAGAGGACCTCAGCAGCAGGACACTGGCTTCAGCCTTACCCCTGAGGTCGCTCCTGTCCCCCAAGACTGGCACTGGCCCCTTGGGATTAGCCTATGCCTGGGGTTACCCTGACAGTAACTATTCGGTTCTGTTAATGACCTAGGCTCCCCACTCTTTCCCCCTCAGCCCCCACCCCCCTTATTGTCTTTCCACGAGATCTGGCCCAGTGCACACAGTGCTTGGGGTCAGGGTAGGGGCTTCCCGAACTAAGAACGAGCCCACCCCTCAGCACAAAGCCCACAGGGCAGGAGGAAGGCTGCAGGCCTTGGGGAAGGTGGGGGCAAGGGCATGTGTCTGGTTGGTGGCAGGGACCGACAACACACGGAGGGTGAGGAGCGGCCAGCACACAGCAGGTGCTCAATAGGTATGTACTGCATGAGGTCTTCAGCTTCTTGCTTTGCTGGAACCTGTGAGCACACTCTATGGCTGGGTTTTGCACCCACTAGACAGAATTCCCCACCACAGCTCTGCCTCTGGGGAGGGAAGGACACGGTTGAGGTATGGGGTCAGCAGCATGGCGTGGGACACCCTCTGCCCACATTGCTGGAGGAACAGGGGCGAGCCCTGCAGGGTAACCCCCTCCTGGCAACCACACCTCCCATACCCACCCTGAGCCCGGCAGCCTAACTGCCTGGTTCCCGACTCTCTGAAGTAGCTGCATTCCGATCAGCCACAAGCAAGCTCAGAGAGGAGAGCCCGGGAACCCGGGGCGCCCACTCCTTAGAGCCCCAGGAAGAGGGGTGACAGTGTGGGTGGGGGGGTGCCCCCACAGGGAGGCCGGTCCCCAGAGATGCCTGGGAGGGGCTCTGGGGTAGTCCCGCACTGGACTGGGCAGAGGGAGCCCTGCTACGGGGGCTGGCTATGCACACTGCTGGGGGCAGCTGCCCCCAGGCCAGTAGAGGCTTACATGGCACCTGGTCCAGGGGCGGGCAGCAGGTCCTCCTCTCCCCAGTAACGGCTCCGGGGAAAACGTGTGTCAGAGGAGACAGGCATCATTTGGGAAGGAAGCGGCTAAGTCTTCCCCGGCCAGTGGGCACAGCCCTCAGGGTGGGCGAGAGGGCGTGGGGCTGGGAGACCGGCCAGCCGGCATGTGCAGCCCGGCCCGGCTGCCTCTCCCGGGTGCAGCCACTTCATCCAGCCACTGCCAGGGCTGCGCGGGAGCTGGCAGCCTCAAGGGCTGGCCTGCCGGGGTCGTGCCTACTCCTCCCCCCACCCTCAGGAAGTGACATCATCCCACTCTCTCTCCAAGGAGGAGTCGGAGCACGGATTCTGGGAAGCGGGAGAAGGGTGGAGAGCCGCGGTGGTGGGTAGCTGGGGCCGGGTCTGTGGCCCGCAGGGGGCTGGGGCTGCAGCAGAGTCTGTGGCCAGCAGCTGACAGCGCCGGCCACAGGCTCAGGTTGCGGGTGATGAGACAGGGGGGCTGGGGCACCGCGGGCGGCAGCTGCACTGGGGCAGGACACAGCTGGTGTTACTGCCCCTTCCAACTCCAGGTGGCTCACAGAGGGTAAGGGGGGCCTGGGGTCGGGCTCAGGGGGCTGCTGGGAGCCCCCTCACAGCAATGGAAGGAAATGAATCAGAGTTCAGAGTTCACCTGCGGGGGCTGTGGTCCCACGTCCTACTCCAATCAGGCCAGGTGGGGCAGAAGGACGGGCAGTGCCGCTCCAGAGGGGCTGGCAGGTGCGTGAGGGTCTGGCCCCTGCCAGCAGCCCAGGACACCCGTTCTGAGGTACACGCTGTGGGGACCCTCCGCTCACTCCCACTGTCTACCCACAGAGCCCAGAATGGCCAGAACTCCTTCAGCTCACACGTGCCGTTCACCCAACACCCTCACCCTCACCCTCAGCCTCTGAGCACCCCCTCTCTGCCCGCACTGTGCCCACCCTCCCCAGCTCTCAGGCTGGGCGAGGTGAGCCGCACCTGTCACCAAGCCCTGCAGAGGTGGCCGTACCTAGGAGTCTCAATAACTGGAGTGTGGCCAGTGGCAGCCTCTGCCCTGGCTCAGGGGGCAACCAGCCTGAGGCCAGTAGCCACGGTCGGCGCCAATGCCCACTGGGTCACACGGTGGGGCGCTGCGGGCTGGCCCCACTGGGCACCCTGTGACAGTCCTGTGCCTGGGGCCCCCCACCACTGCAGCATCCCAGGCACAGCGCTGCGAGCCCAGGCCCAGGAGCCAGACTGCCTGGCTTCAAACCCAGGCTCTACCACCCGCCAATCGTGTGACTTACTAGTTGTGCCTCGGTTTCCTCATTTGTAAAATGTCGATTATCCCCACCTCCTAAAGCTCTGGCGAGGATCCCATGAGAGGAGGTCTGCAGAGGCCCTAGCCGTGCTGGATGAGTGCCAAAGCCAGTCCTAGCAGGGCGTGTGAGGCGGAGGGAGTGCATGGGAACCCCTGCTGGACCCGCGCCCCTCCCCGCCTGGCCTGGAGGATTCTCCAGCTGGTCACCAACGGGTCACAGTCTGGGGTGGGGGTGGCAGGGCCTGTGCTGCATGAGGGGTGGTGCTGATTCATAAATCTCAATCTCAGGGCTGCTATTTTTAAGGGTCTGAAAGGCGGCCTTTCTGAAGAGACCCCAGCCCATCACAATGGGTGCCTGTTCCCCTGCTGGGGATGTGATTTCATCTGGAGGAAATGTCTTAGGAGGGGGAAGGGCAGAGGCTACTTCCTGGTCTGGGGCTGCCACAAAGCATCTCCTCTGGCTCTCGTCCCCTGGGGCACAGCGTTGGTGCCCACAGTGGGGTGGGTGCATGGGCACTGCCTCCCCTTCCTATCCAGGGGGACACAAGGGCACTGCTGGGGGCTCCTCCTGCCTCTGATTGGGCCCCCAGCCCAGGCAGGTGCGAATGGGGTGCCAGGGGTCCCCCTCCCATGGGTGGAATTAAGCGGCCCTAGGGAGCCTCTTTCTTCCCCCACACACATGGTCCAATTTCCCTGCTGGTGACTCAGGCCCCTGGGTTAAGGATTAACCATTCCAGGAGTTCCTCTTTCTAAAAATGCAAAACTCTTTTTTAAAATGCACATACTGCTCTCTACTTTAAAAACCTTCCATGGCTCCCATGGCCTGCAGAATAAAGCCCAGGGCCCTCAGGTGAGCAACTAAGGGCCTCAGCCACTGGCTGGCTGTGCAACCTTGGGCAAGTGCCTGGCCCTCTCTGAATCCATGCATGCCTTATCCCTCACCCTCAGGGATCTGGGTGTGGACAGACTCCGGCAACTCCAACATGGAGCCGACCCTTAGCTAGCAGGTCTCTCTGGCCAGGGAGGCTCTCCGGCCTTCGTACACTGCCCCACCCTCATTTCTTGACACCCTCCAAACTTGCTGCTCCCTAAAACCACCTCATTGGAAGGGTCCATGCTTTGGGTTACCCCAGTTCTTCTGACAAGCAAAATCCTGCTCATCTTTCTAGGCCAGCCAAAAGTCACCTCCTCTTTGAAGCCCCCATGTACCCAGCACTCCTGGGAAACAGGCCACTCTCTCACGGGATCCCCAGGCCCTTCACCCCAGCGTGGCCCTGGTCACACTGTCCTACAGTTAACTTGCTGATTCCTTGCTGCCCATCCCTGCCCCAGCTCAACCCAGAGCCCCTGGGGGCCAGGGCCCTGTGGTGACCGTCTCTACACGCACGCTCTGGTGCCTGCCTGCAGTGCCTGGCTCGGGCCCATCATCCCCACCCCTAGCCACCCCTCCATCCCCACTGGCAGGGCACAGCCTGCTTAGCGCTGTCCCGTCACCATGGGACAGTGCCTCCTTCCCCTCTCAGCTCACACCCTCCCGCCCCAGCGCCTGCCCCCTCCTCTGGCTATCTGAACTGTTCTGAGGCTTCGGTTTCTTCCTCTGAGAAGTGGGAATAACAACACCCCTCCCAAGGCTGTGGCAAGAATAGACTGGGATGATGTCACTAAAGGGCTCTGCACAGGCCCTGGCACACCCAAGGATCTGTTCGTGGTGGCCCCTGGATTCACAGGGCGTCCGATCGACTTTGTGGGGACCTCTTGTGGTGTGATCTGTGACTGGGTACTGGGGGTCTGGAAGGTGCCGCTGGGGCCCACGGCTGGCTCCAGCTGCCAGCAAAGGGCTGGAGTGAGCACGCGTAAGCCCTGACTAGGGAACGCGCCCCCGCCATGGGCCTTCCGGTGCTGCTGGTTAAAGCACTGCATGTGGGACCTCACCCCCTCATCCTAAGGTCCCCACGGGCTTGGCCCTAGGAAGTTTCAGAGAGTTGAGCCCCTTGGCGGAAGGGCTCCCCACTGGTGGCGCTCTGGGAGCTCACAGGGGAGAGAAGAGGGTGCCGGGTCAGCCTCTGCATGGCCCTGTACAGAGAGTTCTGGCCAGGACTGGTGAAAGATGGGCGGTCACCTTGCCTGCCTGCAGTGGGTCAGGGCTCCGGAGTGCCCATGGGGAACCCGGGTGATGTGTCTTGGAGCCCCGTCCAGTGCCACCTCCAGCTGGTGAGATTTCCCACCTGGCAGACGTGGCCTCGGGCACCCGGGCCCAGGGACGGGATGGAGGTTGAGCCCAAAGGAGGGGAGGACAGCCAGGTCCAGGCCATGGGATCTGTCTGACATCAGCCGAGCACTTCCTGTGTCCCACGTCCCAGGCTAACTGCCTCCCATCCTTGCAGCAGTGATGCAGGGTCAGTGTCGCTCTCGTTCCACAGGGAGAGCGAGGGCTAGTTAGGAGAATGCACTCTAAACCCAGACTGCATCTGAGTCCTGGCTCTGCCACTTACTGGC